AATAACTTTTTTAATTTTTTCTTAATTTAAATATTTATGGTTGAGACTATAAAGTGTTTAGCGTTAATGAGTTACAATATTTTAGATTTTTAAGTTTTATTAAATTTAAATATATATAATTTTATTTGTATATAATAAAATTAAAAAAAATTAAAGAATGAAATTAAAATAAACCCATAAGTTGACTCGTAACCTACTAGGGTCATGTTAAGGTTGGCGTTTTCTAACCCATGATTTGATTATGACTCAACTTGTATAACCCATTACTCGAGTTGATCCAACCTAAAACCGATCCAACTTACCCGTTTGCTAAAGCTACATACTCTATCCATTCTAAAATAACTATCTTTTTTTCACTTTGAGTTTCTCTTAAATAATTTTTTATTATTTTTTATGGTAGACAAATATTCTTTTTTTCTAATTTAATTATATTATTATCTATTTACTTTAATTAATTATCACATCACAAGTAGTTTCTCTTTATCCTTTAACATTTTTCTAAAGGTGAAATAGGTTAATACTAAAAATTGTTCTCAAACACTTAATTTAGAGAAAAAGTTAAAAAATAACAATTATTTTAAGACAAAAAGAATACAAAATATGAGGATTTGATTTCTAATCATCAATTTGTTTCTCATATTATATTCTTTTGTAAGTAGCATTTAATAGTATATTTAGTTTAAAAAGAAAAAAAAGATAAAAATTTCTTTATTTGATTGATAATAAATTTGGAAGTGATATGAGTTATTTGCTCTTTTTTTCCAAAAAGAGAAGGGGAGGGAAATCGAAGAATATTGTATCCCTCACTTCCCCTCTTCCCTTCTTTATATATTTTTTAAAAACTAAATATATAGTTAGTTCTCATTTGTTTTATTTTAAATTTTGAAATTGAAAATTAATTGATTTTTTTTATATAAATTAACTTGAGATTTGAAATTCTAAGAATTTGGTTCATTTCCACAGCTACCAAAACAAACTTTTCTTTAAATTTGGGCCTCACCTTAATATTGACCAGTAGCCACTAGATACCATAATCTTGTAGACGACTTCAAATACTTAACCCACACGACCAGCAGAGTTGCCTCCACACTCAGCAGACATGGTGCAGACTTTTGGGAATCACTTCTTCCTAGTCAATGCCACGAAAAAAAAAGAATCACTGTCATCTTGCCCCCCAAAAATTAACATTTTTATTTCTTAAAAAAAAATTCTTATTTTGATTGATAGGTTTGATCCAACACTAAATACAATATTATCCAATAATTTCTAAAAAAACAATTTGAAATGATTTAAGATAATATCACATTTCAAGAAAGGATTTGAAATTTAAATCATGAATGGAATGTAGTGCCAATGAAATTAAAATAAAAATTGAGGATCTTGGATGATGCTGATATGGATTATTACCCATGATTTAAGAAATATTATTTTGTTTGAAATCAAGAAGGAACAACAAGAAATTAAATAAATAAATAATTGGAAGAAAAAGATAGAAATGGGAAAAAGTTCAACTGTCTCCATACGCACCAATAACGAGGGTCATCAGTTTGGAGTCTTTGGACCTAAATACCGTCCTCTTCTTCACTTCATTTCGTCTGTCTAAATCTCAAGACCCCAAAGTGGACATCTTCTTCTGCGAACTTTTCCTTGTTTCTTCCCCTTAAATTACACCTCTTTATTTCCTCATCTTTTCACTCTCATTCATTGATTGTTCTCTTCAAACCCACAAAGAAAACCCATTTTGGCTGCAGATTTCTATGCCCATTCTGATCTGGGTTTGTGGTCAAAGGAGGAAACTTTACTCAAATTTCATTCCTGTTTCCTTGTTATTCCGTCATTGGAAGCATAATTTGGAACATTTGGGTATAAAAACCCATTTAGATTATGCAATTGTAGATTGATTTCCATTTGGGTGTCTTTTGCTGGGTTGAAATTTGGAGAGTACCGCTTCGTTTTGGTTGTTCGGGCCATGGATGATGAATCGAAAGCTGTGGCTATTACCGGTAAGATCACGGTTATAGCTATAATTGTACTCTTCTTGGTGGTTGTCTTCGTTCTTGTCCTCCATCTGTATGCGAAATGGTTCTGGTGGCGTATGGAGGAACCCCCTCCTCCTCGCCGGCGGCGGCGCGGATTTGTCTTTGCTCCTGGGCAAGAGACTTCCCTCTCTGTCCGTGCTTCCAAGGGCCTAGATTCCGCCGTCCTCGCATCTCTTCCCCTGCTCGTGTTTCGCCAAGAAGACTTCAAGGACGGACTGGAGTGTGCGGTTTGCTTGTCTGAGCTTGAGGAAGGGGAGAAAGCGAGGCTGCTGCCGAAATGTAACCATGGGTTCCATGTCGACTGCATCGACATGTGGTTCCAATCGCACTCCACTTGTCCCATTTGCCGGAATCCTGTCACCGGTTTAGAGCGTGAGAATACTTCTTCTGTGGATTCGTTAGATGTTCATCCCGAGTCTCCCCATGAAAGTTCATCTTCATCAGGGCATTCAACAGAATCTCCTAGTTTCCCTACTAATATTTTGTTTTGGGGGAACGAAACTCAGGTAAGCAGCGTCGGTGCTTGTTTGGAAGAGGCCATTTCCACCTCCACCTCTACTTCGTCCCCCTCTTTTGCTTCCTCTTCCTTGCCTTCCGTTAGTAGCAGACCGGAGGGGATGCTCGTCATTGATGTTCCTATGAATCTGAATGAGAGTCTGACCGAGGGAGAATCAAAGTCCCCAATGCCTACAAGATTGAGGTCATTGAAAAGACTTTTGAGCAGGGACAAAAGAATTGCTCCTAGTAGCTCTAGTACTGGTTCTGTTGATGTTTGAGTACAAAGGAGAAGAGGTTTCGTCCCCGATATGTGCTTATATTCCCAGTAAAAATGAGGATTATCAAGCTGCAATCTTGTATGTCTTGTTTTTTTACCTCAATGATTGAATTGGGCATTTGAGAAATATGCTGTTGAAGGAATGCTGTTGTATTCTGTATTTGCGCAGGGTGAGTTTATCAGCTTCTGCAGATGGTGTGTTTCTTTAAAGATTCATCAATTGATGAAGTATTAATGAAACTCTGCAAAATTATTCATCATGCTTTGTTATTGATTGCACCGCACTAAAATGCATAAAATTGAATCACCAAACATTTGAGATTCTTGAAGTTACAAGATGATTCTTCATGTGATATATATTTATTTAATCTCCAATACATTTTGACTTGAAGTTCCTTGCAGAATTTTGTTCCATAGTCATTTGCACTATGTGACCGAGTAGAGAGGTCCATAGGCATTGACATGGGGAGAATTGTTCGGCTGGTCAAGACACATGTATGGCACCTCATTTTCTTCCTTCCTAGTGGGGTTGAAAACAGTGGTCACATGTCCAGAGGATGGACGTTGGCTCTTCCTATTGACTCTGGCGTTTCCGAGTATGGGACCTGAAAAATAACCCTTCTTTGGCTTGTAAGAACGCCTAGGAGCATCGGCAGCACCTGTGCCGGGTTTGCTGCTCTTTTTATCAGTTTTCCACCATGAGAAGAGAGAACTTCTCCATGATTTCTTTCTCCTTTCCTCTCCTTTTACTTCTGAATTTCCACATGATTCCTGGGGTTTCACTTCTGTTGCATATTGTCTCGCTTCTTTCAGGAACTGATCATCACAAAAACCAGAGAAGAAAATGAAATCACAAAATAGCAAACTAAAAGGAACCCAAAACCAAAACCAGAATGTTTACTGTTTACCTCTGAAAAATTCACACCAGGATCAAATTCATACCCACTACAATCACTTGTCTCAATGCTCGGATGCATCGGAGACTTCATCATTTTTTTTTTATTCTTCCTGCACAACCACAAGACCCAATTACAAAAACAGAAGTATTCTTGTATCTAGAATGATAAAATTTTTGCTTAACTTTTGTGTGTCAAGGAATGCCATACCAGGAGATACTGTGAATGAGCAGAAATCTAGCCAAGGTAAAAAATGCAAAGAAACAAGGATAAAATAGAAAGTAATTATGAGCTTAGACCAAAATTAAAACATACTCATTAAGGCAGAGGAAAAGTTTATCAAAGGATCTGCCACGCTTGAAAAATTTGTTGAGCCTTTAATCATTCAACCGAATAAGACATCCTAATTTTGCTTCCTCTTGAATGATTTTAATTTAATTTTAGGGATGGCGTAAAGGGGTCAATCATTCATGCCGCCGAAGAGTAAATCATGCTGTTCCTTTGTTGTTTGTACCTACGAGGTAAAGGAAGAGTAGAGACTCTCGAATCTGTAGTTAAATTAAAAGACGCCAACTATTGAATAAATAACGTTCTTACAAAAAAAAAAAAAAGGGAAAAATGTTGAGTAGGGGATTTTTTTTTTTTAAAAGAAAATAATCAAAACCTTACAGGCCATTCCGTACGTATGTAATTAATTTAATCATCTTTGAATAATTAACATTTTATATAATTAAACAATAAGAATAGATTTTTAAAAAATTTTGGTTAAATACCCTTTTTGGTCCCTCTACTATAGGAAAAAGCCCTTTTTTGGTCCCTATACCGAAAAAATCTCCTTTTTGATCCTTACTGTTTACAAATCCGGCCCCTTTTTAGTCCCTCCGTTAAATTTTGGCTGATGTGGCAAGTTAATTAACGGAAAACTCATTTTGTTTTTTTTTATTAAATTACGTGAAAAATCCATGTGAGAAAAATTGATGACATGCTAAATTTTTTACTTTTAATTACTGATTTGCCCTCAAAGATTGATGACATGGTAAAATGTTTTCCTTTAATTACTAATTTACCCTCTTCTTTCTTCCCCTGCCTT